AAGCACACATTCTAGAGTTTACCTATTGAAACAAATATCCTAGAAAGTCCCACTCCAGTGGTTATGTACTTTATCAAATGCTACAGCTGGTAAGAGTACTTTTTAAATTGTGGTAAAATACACATACATACAATTTAGCACCTCAACCATTTTTAAGTGTACAGTTCAGTAGTAAGACTATTCATTCACATTGTTGGGCAGCCCATCTCCAGAACTTTTTCATCGTGCAGAACTGAAGCTCTGTACCTATTAAGCCGCAGTTCATCATTTCTCCCCCATCCCAGGCCCTGGCAAGTACCATTCTACTTTCTGTCTCTAGACACCGCACATAAGAATCGTGCATAATTGTCTTTTTATGGCTGGCTTACTTCATTTAGCATAATGTTCTCAAGATTCATCCATGTTGTAGTATGTGTCAAAGTTTCCTACCTTTTTAAGGCTGAATAATATGACATTGGATTTATATACATTTGTTTATCCTTTCATCTGTTGAATGCTTGAGTGGCTTTCCTCTTCTGGCTATTGTGACTAGTGCTGCTATGAATATGAATGTCTCTTGGACACTCTGCTTTCAATATTGTATGTATATATATATGTGTGTATATATATCCAGAAGTGGAATTATTGGATCATATGGACATTCTATTTAAAATTTTTTTAGGAACTGACATAGTGTTTTCCATAGTGGCTGCACCATTTTACATTCCCACCAACAGTGCATAAGGGTTTCTGGTTTTTCTGTTTGTTTGTTTTTTTAATATATATGGTAGGCATCCTAATGGGGATGAGGTGATATCTCATTGAGGTTTGGACTGGCATTTCATAAACTGGTCAAAAATATTTTTGAAACAAGTTTTAACGTTAACTTTAGAGCTACTCAAGTAAGTAAATTCCATAATTGTGGGTGCACAAAACGCTCTCCTTTGTTTTTGTCCCTTTGTCAATGCTCTACTCAGATTATCTCTCAATGTATCACCTAAAAGATTGAATTAGGCTGACAGTTATCAACACCCCCAACAGAGTAGCTTGAGCTAGTAAGAGGTAGTATTTTTTTCTCATGATACTGGAAATATGCAATCTGGAGCTATCTGACAATTCAAAGCTGCCGAATCTTTTGTGACTTTTTGTTCTGCCCTCTTTATTTGTGTGGATTTTAACCTCATCATCGATGACTCCTATGCTCCTGGCATCATTTATATTTTCTTGGCAGGAGGAAGAGGAAAGAGAAAGGATAAAAGGCAAAATCTGGATGCCAACTGAACTGGCTAAATTTAATAAACTTTCGCAGAAGGCCTAGCAAATGACTTCCTCTGACCTCTCATTAACTAGTTCTCTGCCACCTGGCCGCCCCTTGGTCTGGGAAATGCTTGGCACATTTTCCCTATTTCTTCCAACAAAATTGGGATTCTGTTACTAAAAATCAGAAAGTCATGTGTATTGTGTAGACAACTGGCTCTGTTTGCTGTATCATGTATCCCTTCTATTTTCAGTGTTTCATTCTGAGGAAAGGAATTAGCCTGGAAAACAGGGAGAGTTAGATTCTAGAAGCCAAAGGACAGCTTGTAAGGCAGCAGTAGGAAAAGGACTAATGCACTGTCTACCATAAGTAAGTATCTTTCAGCCTAACGTAAGTACCGTAATGTGGGTTTAATTGGTTGCAGAATCACTCGAAAGTCAAATGGCAGTAAGTCAGGATACGCCTTTATTTTAAAAATACCATAATTCAAAAATTACAAAAATATCAAAATTTAGTGTTGATTATTATCTTGAATCTGTTATATTTGCAGCTGCAAGTGCTAAAAAGTCTAAAATTAGTTCTATCAAGTATCATGAGCCAAGAAAACTTACGTCATTTGTGTTATTTTGGCTTAAAAATCCTCCTGACCCAGCAACTGATCTTGATATAATCAAACAACAATTTGTTTCATTTCAAAACCAAAATTTGATTATTCTTGCCCAGCTAATGGAAGATCAGAGACATTCACTCTCCCCATCTGATCTGAATGCATAATTCGGCTCTAGAATTAGAAAGGAGGATTCTGGAATATAAAGAAACATAGAGGCATTTCAAGTAGCACATCAAATAGAGAATTTATTTTTTGTGTATATTGTGTCAGATGGAGATACTGAGAGGGCAGAGAGACGGAGAGAAAGTGAGAGGAGGTTTTACAATGTAAAACCTGATAAACCTTTTTATTTATTTTCATTATGCTTCCATTATACTTTGGGTTCCACTGCCTTTTCTTCCCATCTCTTCCTCTTTTCATCTTCCTTCCACTGTTAATCTGATATCATTCATTTTTAATTTAGTGTGAATGCATTTCCGAACGTAAGCTAGAGTTGCCAGAGTGCTATCTGGGAAAGCTGTCTGGTCTGTTCAGAGGTCATTCACTGCTCCTACTGACAGCTACACTGGAAGAAAAGGGACCTGGACATGACCTGAGAGGATACAGGTTACTCTGCTTTACAAGGTCCCTGCTTTACCCATCCTTGGTTTCTACACTCTTTCCCCTGTAGTTCAGGGATGATGTGAGAGCGTCACATCGACACCTTCAGCTCAGCATCCTGCTTTCTCTTCCCCGACTGTGTGAGCTCTCAGTAGAATAGCACTTTGGTCTTTTGCCCCAGAGTTTTTTGTTTGTTTGTTTGTTTGTTTGTTTTTGAATAATTTGACATCCAGAATACATGGGGCTGGAGCTTCTAAAGATAGGTGGAATGCATAAGAATGTAATTCTCAGAAATAGCTCAAAGGGGACTAGACAATAGGTAAATATGGATCAGAGGGTACATCATGACTGGGTGGGGAGAAGCAGGCAAAATTTCTTGACAGTTGCCTACTAGGGGGCTGGATTCAGGACTTGGGTATTTTAGTGCATTCTGTTAATATATTAACATATGTGACTATATGTTATATATGTATTTACATATATATATATATATATAATGACTGCCACTATGATCACTTTATGGATACTCAAAAAAAAAAAAACAAAGAGAGGATAAAAACTCAAGAACAATGGCACTGATTTAGGAGAACTCACTGTTTTTTACTTCCTTGGAATGCATCACAAGAAGTAGGTATGAAAGTATGTTAAATAAAATAATACCTATAAAATGTCTCATGCATGCCTAGTACATGGAAGTCACTAAAATGCAAATGTATAATTATATTAACTTTTTATACACTTATTGTGTTATAATTACACCATATTATAATGCGTTATACCACTTTATCATTAACAGGTGCTTTATGAGATTATCTTTAAGTTTCTTATTGTTATGACTTGTGTTCCTCTACAACAGTTTTCTATTCATACATTTCCCTAACCGGTGGGTACATTAGTTGGGTTTTTATTAAATCCTGCTGAGAATAAGAAGTCATATCTATACCTAAAATTAATATTCCAAGTTCCTATAATTCAAAATGTCAGAATAATTTCTGTCATTGAGTCAGGGGGTGTCTCTTGGCCTCCCAGTTTCTCTGCTGTTTTGTCTGGATTTATATTTAAGCATTTGGCTTTCATTTTTATCTCAAGTTCAGCCAGGCTGGAAGAGTAGAATAGTAATACCAGCTGGCATAGAGCAGAGCCTGTATCAGCATATCGATGTTCCTGCATCAGCATATTGATGCTAGCAACACCAAAATGTCTCTCTGTCTCACAAAACTGCTGCACATTGGCATTAAACAGCATGGGGACACAAGGGAGCGGGTAGAAATGACCGCGTAGAGTGGATGCATGGCTGCCCATTCGAAGAGAGGATGTTTCACAGTGAGGTGGTGCGGTATCACAAGGACGTGAAACAAATCAAACCAGCCGTTTGTAATAAATGAGTATGTGACTGGTCATTGATGCTAAACTATTGAGAGCAGAACACTTTTGATTTTGAGTGTGATTAAAACCAAAACTGACTGTGATGAAGGTGTTTATGAAAAAAATCCTGAAACTATTGCTCAATCCTAATGGGAAGGTAACTAGCTAATTCATTACTTTTTGTACTTAGTTGACTTTTTAAAATTAACTTTTTAATTGAAGGAAAACATATACAGAAAAGTGCTCCATCATACCCATCCAGCTCAATGAATTTTCATACGTCTATCTCACTCCTGTAACATCCACCAGGATCAAAATATAGTACATACTGGCAGTATTCCTCCTGCCTCCTGACAGTCGTTACCCATAGCTTTCTCTCCAAAGATAATCACTAACCTGAATTCTTACACAGTACATTAGTTGTATTTGGGTTTTTTTTTTTTTACATTTTTTTACTGAGTTATAGTCATTTTACAATGTTGTGTCAAATTCCAGTGTAGAACACAATTTTTCACTTATACCTGAATGTACATATATTCATTGTCACATTTTTTTTTTCGCTGTGAGCTACTACAAGATCTTGTATATGTTTCCCTGTGCTGTACAGTATAATCTTGTTTATCTATTCTACATTTTGAAATCCCAGTCTGTCCCTTCCCACCCCCCACCCCCTTGGCAACCACAAGTTTGTGTTCTATGTCTATGAGTCTGTTTCTGTTTTATATATAAGTTCATTTGTCTTTTTTTTAAGTTTCTGCATATGAGTGATCTCATATGGTATTTTTCTTTCTCTTTCTGGCTTACTTCACTTAAAATGACATTCTCCAGGAACATCCATGTTGCTGCAAATGGCGTTATGTTGTCAGTTTTTATGACTGAATGGTATTCCATTGTATAAATATACCACGACTTCTTCATCCAGTTATCTGTTGATGGATATTTAGGTTGTTTCCATGTTGTGGCTATTGTAAATAGTGCTGCTATGAAC